CCCCGCCCCGCCCTTTCGGCTCCCGCCGGCCGGTCCGGCTTTGTGGGGCGCCCGGGCCCGCGCGGGGGCAGGGCCTTGCCGGGGATTTCTGCCCCGCCTCAGTTTCTTTCAAGTGATTTTGTGAGTTCAGGGGCGACATAAATCTCGCTCTGCTCCTGTCTGTAGCACCACGGAGCCCTCGGTAGCAATGCTTGGGCTGGGGAAAGCTTTTTTTTCTTGACCCTTAGTTAGTGACCTTCCACCCAAAAACCAAAAAGCTGGGACTTCAGCAACACGTTGTCTTTGCATGGCGGCGCATTTCCCTCGCTGAGGCCTTGTTCCTGGAAATACCTGGGTGTCTTTAATGCGACGCCTGTGGACGAAGCCCCCCGGGTGGCCAAGGGCATGAAGGTTTGGGGCCTAAGACGACCTCCGGTGCGCTTTGTCGCTTGTCTTTCTGGAGACAGGATTTGAGTTCGGTAAAAGCATGTCACAAGCCAAACAGTCATTTTTATTTTCTGCCTTGCAGACTACGCTTTGGAGGTGATAACTCAGCCATGGTCTGTCTTGCTGCTGCTTGGGATGTAGTTTCTGCCAACCGGCTCCTTCACATGGGCCAGGTGCAGAGTTGGGCAGGTTTTCACCTCGCCCAGGATTTCACCAACACTTTACTCCTGGCCTTTGGAAATCCGTGCCCAACTCGGGTTGCAGTGGTGCGGGGCAGGGGGCAGCTGGAGGAGTGATACTTTTACATCTGTGTAGTGTTTCTGGTACAGACAATGGGGCTGCTTAAATACCTAAATGGGGCCTTAAGCTGCCACTTTGCAACTTTCTAACAGCAGGAAAATAGGCCTTCCAAAAGTGATTTCACTGTCACCATATCAGATCCATTTGATCTTAATGTTTGTGATTGGCTGCCTGAGTGGAGAGCTTGGAAACCCTTTGTGAGCAGTGAAACTGCTGCAGCCCATGGTGCTTTCTGCTTTATTACTGTCACTTTCCATTGCAAAGGAGAGCATAGGAAGTTTTATCATGCCTTTCACCCTGACAATATCCCAAATGGATGGAGAAAGCAATGAATTAATCAGGCAAGTACCAGCAACAATGAGGAGCTAAAGGAGGCCTTGACTGAGGATTACAAGATTTTTAATACAACTTGAACTCAGGGAGGCTGCACCTCCCCTGCATGGGGGTGTTGACAACAGCAGTGCAAACATCTGGACCTCTTGGTTCAGAGATGATACCTTCCATTAGACCAGCTGAGAAATTGCAAAAAAAAATGTGTATTTTTATATTTGACAACAGCAGTAAGTGGAAATGTTTGCAGGATGGGGATCCTAAATATGTAAAGCACCTTCACCTTAAAACAACCGAGGAAAAAGGTCCAGTTAGGGGTGTCAGTAATTAAACAATTGGAGCCATTTCCTGAGGGCTCTGATGGTTTCTGAATAGCAGCAGTTTGAAAGTCAAGAGGGGAGGCTCTTGTAGGATGCGAACAAGAATTTATTCAGGGGTGTTGGTTGTTGGTCTAAGGACATGGGCAGGCCAGGCTCTGTGGGTAGATGTGATCTTTTTTATCGGACCAGCTGAGTAGTGTGTGATATCTTTTATTAGACTGAGACCAACTTCGCAAGCTTCGGTGCACAAAGACGAAACGTGAAAGCTTGCAAAGAACTTTTTCCAACTATTTAGTTGGTCAAATAAATGAGATCACATCTGCTCAAAGGACTTTGCCAGAATTTATTCAGGGCATTCTGCTGGGCTTTGGTGCACGGGAGGTCAGACTAGTGGTTCTTTCAGGCCAAAGAATATATGAATAAACCATTTAAAAAAAAGTGTCTCCCTTATGCTAAATTTTAACAGCTATGAGTTAAATGTTTGCAGCAGACTGCTGCCTCCCAACCCCACCCAGACCCAGATGACTTCCACCGGTGACAGAGAGGCAACTTTCTAGAGGATCTTGGCTTACAAGGCAAGCATTGTAATGTAGCGGTGCAGCCTTAGCATGGGGATTACTCACAAGAGAGTTAATCGCAGAACTTTGTAAGCAAGTGGTGTGTATGTGATGGGGAGAGAGAGGCATGGGAAGCCTGTGCCGTATCATTCAGTCATTTCTCATGCAGCAAATGGGTTCCTTGGGAAGCTGGGAGTGATCCGGCCAAGGAGAAGAGGTTAAATCAAAGTACAAGGCTCATAACATCCTGTTTGAACAATCAACAGGAAACTCAGCCTGCACACCTCATGGGAGGCTGGCATGTTTGAAGTGGGAGCTATTCCCCATGTCTAAGGTGCAGCTCCAGTGTTTCAGACAGCACCGGTCCATTTGGATTTATGTGGGACCTGGGTCAGGCTTTGATCACTGGGGAAGACAAAGCTGACCTGGAGAGAGAGCTGTAGGCCGGTGGGACTGGTATGTAGACAGGAGCATCTTGCATATGAGAAGCTGGCAGCACTGGGAGTATGCATTAGTCATTCTGTTTTAAGTGTCTTGCACCCATTGATATAAAACCCCTTGTTGGGGTCCCAATTCTTGCATCTCCAAAGCTCCCTTTTACTTGGGCAGGTAAGTGGAGATCTGCAGTTTCAGATGCAAAGAAAGGCTCCATAGGCAATCCTGGTGCCATTCTCATGCTAAATTTGTCACTGATTGACTCCTCAAGGTGGTAGACAGCAGGAGCATTTTTGTGTTGCAGATAAGCCTCTTGCAACATCAACCACAAATACTGCACTGGAAACAGCAACAAGAAAGTAGGGAGCACAGGAAAGGGAAACGAAGCGTAAAGCAGCAGGCCCCAAAATGAGTTACCGGGTCAGCTTTTGCTGAACTGGAAATACATTTCTCAAATTCACTTCAGCCTCTTTTTTCCCCCCTTTAAATTTCCCCATTTGCTCAACAGCTGGTGGCCATTCCCTTGTGAACATACCATCTCCCTTTGTGTTCATATACAAGCCCTGTAAATCAGCGTTGTGCACTTTGATATCATTTTCTCTTGGAGGATCGCAAAGCACTTTATGAATGATTGAAGCCTCACTACAGTCCCTGCAAGGCAAAGTGAGGTTATTATCCCCATTTTCTGGACAGAAAACTGAGGCACAGAGATTTTTTGTTGCTCAAAATCAGACGGAGGGTCTGTGCGTAAGCAAGGAATAAGACTTAGCCCTCCTGCCACCTGGACCTATGGCTTAGACCAGTGGTGTTCAACCCTTTTCTATCTGAGGACCCCTAAAACATTTTGAATGGAGGTGTGGACCCCTTTGAATTGGAAGTGTGGGCATTCACCTACTTTAGATTGATTTTACACATCTTTGGTGGATCTCTGTGGATCCGTGGACCACTGGTTGAAAACCACTGGCTGAGACTGTCTAGTCTTTGCTTAGTATGCTGGAGGCTTTGGGATGCCTTTGGGCCGACTAGGGTAACCCTAAACTGAGGATTTTTCAAGACCTTTCCTATTTTTTTCCCTCATGGCTAGTTGGCTTTAAAGAGCCAGCAATATCTGAGAGACAACTTGGCAGCAAAACTTTTTTTGAACTGTTCTCCCCCCGGGTTTGTATGGAAAGGTTGTTAGGATTTCAGCTCCTCCTGCCAATGCTGCTGCCCTGTAACATCACCATGTCCGTCCCACGCACAGGTGACTGGGGTTGCAAGAGCAAGTGCCAGTGGATTTTGTACCTAGCGGTGCATGATTTTGGCAGCATTGAGAGCAGAGGCTGGGCTCTGTTCTCGCCTCTGCCCCGGAGCAGCCCTGTGACTTGTGGTAAACCCCTTCAGTCTGTACGTCTGTACAGCAGGGATGGTTCCCGGAGTTGCAAGGATTCATTCATGTTTGTAAGGTGCTGTGGGGTCTGCGGGCAAAAGAGGTTGGAGAGAGGCTACGAGCTCAGAACAGTGGATTGAAGTCCTGGTTGCTTTGGATTAGGCCTGTGGCTGCAGAAAGCAAATGCCTTGCTCGAGGAAAAGGTGATTTCATAGCCGTGTCGCTCAGAGCTGCCCTGAGGATTTCCCTTTCCTT